AGTTTTCATTTCAGAATCATCTGTTGAAGAGACTGTCCTATTCAATTCAAGTGGGAACCGAACTATCATCTTAAAAAAAATCATTTGACCATGCCTGTTGGGTCTATTTCTGAACCCTTGATTCCACCCACTGAGAGATCCTTACACTATTACTTCCTTGTCTTGATCACTAGTTTGGTAAAAAGTCTTGAAATCACATTATGTAAGTTCTCCAATGTTGTGTTTTTATCCCTCTCAGAACTGTTTTGTCTAATCTAGATTCTTGGCATCTCCATAGGAATTTAGATTCAAAATATCAATTTCTACAACAAAACCCTACTAGGACATTGACTGAGATTGTACTGAAGCGTTACATCAATTTTGAAAGAACTGATATCTTGATAATATTGACTCTTCTGATCCACAGACATGGTATATATCTCTCCATTTATTTACACTTTCTTTAATTTCTCTTAGCAATGCTTTGCAACTTTTTAGTATAGAAGTCTTCATGCATTCTGTTAATATTTCTTAAGTAGCTAATATTTTATACCACCATAAGTCATATTATTTCTTAATTTCAATTTGCCATTGCTGGGTACAGTAATACAAAAGAATGTTTGTTGTATATTGTTGGTTTATACTGTGATCTTGCTAAACTTGCCTGTTAACTCTGGTAACTTTTGGTAGATATCTTAAGATGGTTTACACAGATGATCACGTCATTTCCAATGACAATATTATTTCTCTCCAACCTATATGGCTTTTCTTTCTTATTCTGATTTTTCCAGATGGGCTTTCTGTACAATGATGAAAAGAAGAAATGAGAGTGACATCTCAAGGACATCTTTCAAAATTTCTCTCTGAAATAGAAATAGTCGTGGCTGTGATAGAGGTATAGTAGGGAGTGTTTATGGGAAGAGATGTCAGAGATCAAAGCAATTAAACCCTATACATTGTGGGGAGACTTAGAAGGGGCAAGGTTTCCTTAAGCTGAACCCTGGGAGCTAACAGTTTTCATGGTCTCCTTCTCCCACCCATCTGATGCTACTGCGGTTCCTCTCCTCTGTGCTCCTAGCAGCAGAACAATCTCGATTCTCCTCCCATCACTTCCAGGAGCCTGCGCTCTGCCTGTGTGATGGCATGTTTCCGGACCTGCTCCCGCCTCCTCGGACTGAGCCTGGGCATGATGGCCTTGTTGGCTGCTGGGACCAACATGGTGCTCCTCTTCCCCAATTGGGATTTCCACTACCTGTTGAGAGGCCTTGTTGGCAGGCATGCCATGTTAGGCTCTGGCCTCTGGGGAGGAGGCCTTCTGGTAAGTGTCTGGGGCTCCCTGAATGGGAGATCTCTGAGTTCCCCCCAAGGGTGAGCTGGGAGGTGGTAGGGAGCAATGTTTGGGTCCAGCATAGGTTTGATCCGACCAGCTGGTTTGGGTCCATAAGCTCCAAGGGGTAGAACACAACAGGAAGACTTGTCAAGGGTTGCTGCATTTTAGCTTGGAGACGAGGTAGACTGGGCGTGAACATTTCCTCCCAGTGTTTGATCTGGTGACATCCATTTGCCAGTGAGTCAATTTCACCTTCTTATTGACCCTGTGAGACAAAGTAGAGTTGTCCTATAGGCTTTCCCAAGCTATATATCTTTATGGAAGCAGATTGCCTTATAGGCTTTTTAAAGCTATAAATCTTTATGGAAGCAGAAGTAGGTGGTGGGTTTGAACCGCAAATCTTTCAATTAAGTGCTTTCATCACTTTAATCATTAGACTAGTCACCCCTGGTTGGGTCCTGACATTTAAGAGCCTGGGAAATATAGACAGGTGGGTTCACTTAAGGTGTCTGAAGTACTCGGTTTCAACCCGTGCGTAAGCTTTGGATGGTAGCTAGAAACTTAAAACATCTAATCTTTTCTTAACGCTTTTTTCTTCTCTTCCAGGTAGTCACTTCGGCGACCCTCATCTCCCTGATGGGCTGGGGGTGTGGCTGCTTCCAGAAGAGTGGGCCCTGCTGTATCGTAAGCACCAGCTTTCTCTCCTCTGAGACCGAGAATGAGTGTCTCCACGGCCTCTTACAGCAGAGGCCGAGTGATAAGAAGGCATTTGGGCCTTGGTACAGAAGGGCAGGTACTTGCCGTACCATTGAATAGCTCTAAGCTCTGGGGCAAGTTGCTTAGCCTGCCAAGCCTCCAAACTTCATCCACAAAATGAGAGTGAACAGGTCAATTCAAGGAAGTGTGTGCTTAGGGAACTGCGAACGCTTACGCAAAAGTCACTTCTATGCAAATGTGAGGAATGGTCGATATTTTTGTTAGCGAATTGAAAACTGCGGGCATGAGTTGCTTACATGGTTACCCTGTGTCGCTGATAAACAATTGTCCAACTCTTCTTGCTTCAGATTTCTGAGAGCTCGAAGGTTCTCCAGAGGTCATCTGAAGACTAGATTCTAAGTCCAACCCCTCTGTTCAGCAGATAAGGAAACCGAGGCCCAGAAGAAGTTCTCATTTTATTAATAGCAGCAGCACCTATTCACATTCTGAAAAAAATCTCACTACATATATGTAAACAACGTCTGGATTATTCCACCCCGGAAACATGAATACATAGGCTGATTAGAGTAACTCTTCAACCTCTTCTGATATCTGCAGCCCCCATATGGGAAACCCTACCGATTCAGAACTATACCTTAAAGAATTAGTGGCAAACACCCACACGGTTCAGTCACTCGGGTTCTCAGCCATGGCTGGTTTCCCCTAGGTGGATGGTTCTCAAATTGGAGCGCGCATTAGAATCCCCTGAGGGAATTGTCAGGACACAGATGCTTAGGTCCCACCTCCAGTGTCCCTGAGTCTGTATGTCGGGAGTGGAGCCTGACAATTCACATCTCTCACGCTGTCCCAGGCAGTCCAGTGCTGTGGGTGTACCAAACTGGGCTTTCCATCACATTTGGAGAACTCTTGCTTTCGGCTTAAATCAGAAGAATTCACTTGAATTTTAAAATGGAGAATCAAAACTTAGGATGCATTCCTTCTCTGGCTCCTCTTAGACTTCAAACTAGCTTAACACCAGTGGGGAAATGATTATAAGTCTGTATAAAATTTTATTTTGTTTCATTCAGATGTTTTTAATAATATAGTTTTGGGGATGGAGGGGGGGCGGGCGGGATGAGTGCACTAATTAGTACTCAACTTAAAATCCTTCCAGGAGAGACATTCCTTGTTAACTGTATGGAGGGAACTGAGCGGAGCACGAGCTAGCAACCAAAGAAGCGCTTGGTTGGAAAGTACAATTCCAGCGCTGGGGTCTTTGCGAAGGCGCTGCTCTCCCCTCCCTCCCTCGTCCATCCTCCTTTCCTTCATCTTTGCTTTGTCTCTCCGCCCTCCTTCCCTCTCTCCTACCTTCCGTCTTCTCTCTGATGCTTGATTTGAGAAAGAGAGGACTGGGGTGGGAGTCGAAGCTTTGGAAATGCAGGTTTCCCTAGAAGAGTTAGAGGGGCGCAGGGGGTAACCCCGCTGACGCTTTATGGTCCCCCAGTCGGAGTGTTACGGTACTTTTGCTTTCGTGTTTTGCTTTCTCTTTATTGTGATGCAAACATACACGCCACAATATTCACAACCTCCAGGTTTACAGCTGGATGACGTGGATTTCACTTTTCATATTGTGCCCCAGGATCCGTCTCTGTCCTCAGCCTAAGCATCTCCACCGGGAGCATCCGCTCAGCCAAGGCTCCAGCGCCCTCCCCTTCCCCACTCCCTCCCGCCCCTGGTTACCGTTAGCGATCTTGGTTTCTATAGATTTGCTTTCTTCAGATATGTGAGATCATACAATGTTTGTCCCTTCGTGGCTGACTTTGCTCAGCATTTCCAAGGGTTATTATCCACGTCATGGCAGACATCAGGACTTCATATTTTGTGGGTGCATAATACTCCTTTGCATCCACATTTCGTTTATCCATTCATCTATCGGTGGATATTTTGGTCGTTTCTGTGTGTGGGCTCCCGTGAAAAGGCTGTAAGGAACACTGGGGTGCAGGTTTCAGTTTGCGTTCCTACTGTGGTTGGCAGTTCAAAACCACCAGCAGCTCTACAGGAGACAAACTATGCTTTCTATTCCCCTCAACAGTTCAGTGTCACAAACCCACAGGGCTCCATCGTTGACTTGATGGCAGTAAGTTTGGTTTTGGGTTTGTAAATACCCGGATAAGGTCATCTGGTATGTGTGTTTAAGTTGTTGATGCCAACCTGCTGAGATGCTTCCAAGATCCTGCCAAGTCAAGGAGATTCCATGGGCCTGTGTTTCCCCCTTCTCTCACACCATCCTGGCTCTGCACCTGATCAACCACGCACTCTGATTCTATATTAAAGCAGGAGCGGTCAGTCGGGTTAGCCTCATGTGAAATGATGCGAGAAAGCCTGACTACCCGAGAATCCAGTCTGGTCCAGATCACCCTTCAAGTCAGGCCCACTCTTGCTTCTTTCATTTTTCAGTCATTTTATTGGGGCTCAAACATCCATCCATCCATCCATTGTGTCAAGCCCATTTGTACATTTGTTGTCATCATCATGTTAAAAACATTTTCTTTCTACTTGAGCCCTTGGTATCAGCTCCTCATTTTTTTCTCCTCCCTCCCTTCCTCCCTTATGAACCCTTGATAATTTGTAAATTATTATGATTTTCATGTCGTACACTGACCGATGTCTCCCTTCACCATTTTTCTGTTCTCCATCCTCCTGGGAGGGGGTATATGTAGAGCATTGTGATCAGTTCCTCCTTTCTCCCGCAACCTTCCCTCTCCCCTCCTGGTATCCCTACTCTCATTATTGGTCTGAGGGGTTTATCTGTCCTGGATTCCCTTTGTTTCGAGCTCTTATCTGTACCCGTGCACATGCTCTGGTCTAGCTGGATTTGTAAGGTGGAATTGGGGTTATGATAGTGGGGAGGGGGGGGAAGCATTAAAGAACTAGAGGAAAGTTGTATGTTTCTTCGGTGCTATACTGCACCCTGACGGAGGCCCACTCTTTCTTCTCTCCCTTGGCAGATGCTGACTTCTCTGTTGTCAAGTGGACTGGCTTTGTTTGGAGCCTTGGTTTGCTTTATCACTTCGGGAGTCGCCCTGAAAGATGGCCCTTTTTGCATGTTCGATGTCTCATCCTTCAACCAGACACAAGCTTGGAAGTATGGCTACCCATTCAAGGACCTGCAACACAGGTAAATGGAAGGAAATTTGGCTTTGCAGTCTTTTAGAGAGAGAGAAAGACACAGACAGATACAGTCTTCTCTCGATCACACATCTTATTCCTCTGGTGCTCAGAATACTGCAAACTGGTGAAGCGTCTCCCTCAGGAGTCCAGTCCTGTGGCTTGAACTGGGGGTGGCCCCAGCTCTCTGCTGGGTTCTCTTGTTTGACGGGTCCTACTCGTTCCCAATCCCTGGTCTCCTTATATTTTGGATAGGAACTATTTGTATGACCATTCACTCTGGAACTCCGTGTGCCTGGAGCCTGCTAATGCTGTTGTTTGGCACGTGTCCTTCTTCTCCGTCCTGCTCTGCATCAGCCTCCTTCAGATGCTCCTGGTGGGCATCTATTTTATCAACAGCCTCCTGGGCCTTTTCTGCAGCCTCTGTGAGGCACGATGAGTATTGCCACTTCCTGCCAGGTGTTCTCATCGCAAGCTGCCTTCAGTTCATTCTGTAAGTAATGGGTAGGAATTTGAAACAGACTTCCTCTCTAGGTACTTCCACAGTAATAATAGCAATAATAACTCTTGGCACATTTGTTGAATGACATAGTGTATTTTATTTTATTATATGTATATTTTATTAAAAGATCATTTTATTGGAGGCTCTTTGAGCTCTTATAACAATCCATACATCAATTGTATCAAGTATATTTGTACATATGTTGCCATCATTATTTTCTAGACATTTAGTTTCTATTGAGCCCTTGGTATCAGCTCCTCTCCCCCCCTCCCGTCACCCCTTGATAAGTTATAAATTATTATTATTTTAATATCATGCACCGACCGCTGTCTCCCTTCCCCCATGGTTTCTGTTGTTCATCACCCTAGAAGGGGTGTGTGTGGTTATGTGTCAATCATTGTGATTGGATCCCCCTTCCTCTCCTACATAATGTATTTTAAATCATATTGTAAAGTGTAAGATAATATTTTATTTAAAAAGAATAACTAATTTTTCTTGTATAGAAATGTACAGTCCATAAATATTCTCAAGCCATGATCTCAAGAGTGTGCATTTTAAATCACATTGTAAAGTATAAGAAAATAGAGTAATAAAAGGAATAAATCTTTATTATTGTATAGAAACACATGGTCCACGAAATATTCTCAAGCCATTGGTCTCAATAACCCATAAAATTGACCACTTATTACAGATCAAGAACTTGAGGTTCCTAGAGGGAAATGGACTACTGCACTCAGCTAGGTCCACATGCACTGACTACCTGTCTTTCGGATTCAAGTTCACCCGTGTTCTTTTCATTAGTGTTCCACACAGCTCAACAAATACGTATTGAGCACTCACGGGGTACAGTGCACAGCTGTGCATGGTGAGGATCCAGAGATGACCAAGACACAGCCTTGCCCTTGGACTCTGCCCTGCCCTTGAAGATCTCCATGGTCCAGTTAGGAAGATAAGTCAAGTGTCATTGCAGGGGTAGTGAATCACCGTATATACGCATGCATAAGCAGAGTTTTTCAGCACTTTAAAAAATTGTTTTATTAGGGGCTCATACAACTCTTATCACAATCCATACATACATCAATTGTGTAAAGCACATTTGTACATTCATTGCCCTCCTCATTCTC